CCACTCACCTCAGCCTCCCAAAGGCGCAGGATGACAGGCTGAGCCACCGAGCCCGGCTAGTATACTTAAAGAGGCAAACAATGTTGTGGTTTTCTAACACAGTGTGACCCCCACCAGCGAACTTGAGAGAAACACAAATGATCACCCTTTCAAAACCCGCTGAGTCTGAGGGTGGGGCCCAGCAATTTGTCTTGACAAGCCCTCCGGAGGCTGCCGATGCCACTGACGTTTGAGAACCCCTGTTCATGATGCTCCATTTTGGTTGCTCTTAGTTGCCTAGAAGGTTGGATCTTTGAATGATCTTGTCTGGCTTGGGGTTTTTTAAAAAACAAAACGGCTACGGGGGTCTGGACTGGATCTACAGCTTGAAGTGTCTGACACCACTCTTGCTTGCTCCTGCTGACAGGTCAGCCTAGACTCCCGAGTCAGAGAAGTCATCAACAGAAACATGGTGGAGCCGTCTCAGCACATATTCGATGACGCGCAGCTTCAGATTTACACGCTCATGCACAGGGACTCGTATCCTCGATTCATGAACTCTGCTCTTTATAAGGATTTGCTGCAGTCCTTATCTGAGAAATCAGTTGAAGCATAGGATTTTTCGAATATATTTATTCTTAATAAAATAACAAAAGAGCTCACGGACTACAGCTAGCACAGGGAATTTAGAGGCAGTAATATCTTCTGCTGGAGTGCTACTCGGGCTATTTTCATAACAGATGATTCCTTCGACGCACAGCTACATATTCACCACGTAAGTCGAGGCCACCTTTAGCGATACTTCTGAGAAAAAAAGTGGGATAGGGCTGTTTTAGAAAGATAGTAGATTTACCTTTCCAATAACAGTAACGCGTTGTCAATGATGGAGAACACACTAGAACTGGTTCCACACGGTCCGGAGCATGTGATTCCCCGGGAGAAAAACAGGACCGCTTTTGTTCTGCATGAACTCAGTAACTGATTCCTCTCCCCCCAAAGACAAGACATTCAGGTGTTTCTCAGCTGTCCCTTCCTGCCACCAAGCTTGGTTTGAATACACCGGCGCCATCACAGGGCTCAAATTCACATTTCATAAAGACGTGACCACTACTGGTAAAAATGGTATTCCACGTGATCTCAGAGCATGTATGTATGTATGTAGATACGCATTTGTGCGTGGGGCTCTCTACATGGCTAGTGTAAGACAGCCGTGTGCTCTTAAGTGGATCAGTCTCAAATGTTTTGTAAGAGTGCTCAGAAAGTTGTTGTTGAAAAGTTCCCGTTCTTTTATTATCAGAATTCGTCAACCTACAGAATGAACTTTTGTGTTCACAACTCAGTCATGTTCACAACAAAAACTCTTAAATAAGCATATTTCCATTTTTATGACTGAAAGAAATATGGGCATTTTCACTCTTAAAAAATAAAGCACAAGAGTTTTATTTCAATCTTTATTTGTTATATGTAAACGTTTGGGAAATATAAGATTAAGTGAGTCGGGATACATACAATATATCTTTTAGCTCCTGGACTAGGATTCTACCTTTAAATGCCACTACTTTTATCATGGGTAAGTGAAATAACTTCATCGCCTACAAGTACGGTTACTAGTTGGCTGATTAAAAGCATCCTGAAGCAACCCATCTCTACAGTGAATGGGAAAGACATTCAAAACCTGGACTGCTTTGAGTAGTGTGGATGTTCCGGTGGCTCAGCCTGTCATCCCGCGCCTTGGGAGGCTGAGGTGAGTGGATCGCCTGAGCCCGCGGGTTCGAGACCCGCCTAGGCAACTTGGCGAGACCTCATCTCTACAATAAATCAAAAAACCAGCCGGGCGTGGTAGCGCACGCCTGTAATTCCGGCTTCTTGGAAGGCTGAGACGGAAGGATCACCGAGCCCAGCAGGTCGAGGCTGCAGTGGCCGGGAGCGGCCACTGCACTCCAGTCAGGGCGACAGAGTGAGACTCCAACTCAAAAAAAAGAAGTGCCTTGCAGGAGGCTGGAGCCATGCTTTCGCCCACATGGGGATAGCTCTCCCCTTAGTTGTCTAGCTTTCCCGGCCCCTTGATTGTCTGCCTGTATTCTTATGACTCGACTCAAGTCCCAAACCCAAACCTTCTCCCTCACTCTCACTAAACCATCTTACCTAGTACTTTACGAATGAAAACTGTGTCCCTAACCATCCTCTCAACTTCCCGTGTAAACTATAAATATGTTTAATTAGCATCTATTCTCACTCCTTCCGTCTGGACCCCAAAATTATGTTTTCCCTCTTTTTCAACGTGTCGGCCCTTTACATGTGCTTTTGATTCCGTACCTTACAATCTCATTTTCACTAAACAAATAATTATGGTTAAGACATAAGCTCTGTCAGGAGGGGTGGCTCATGCCTGTAATCCCAGCACTTTTGGGAGGCCAAGGCAGGAAGATTGCCTGAGTCCAGGAGTTTGAGACCAGCCTGGGCAACATAGCAAGACTTCATCTCTACAAAAAAAAATTTAAACTTAGCTGGAGCCGGGCTCGGTGGCTCAGTTTATAATCCTAGCACTTTGGGAGGCCGAGGCGAGTGAATTGCCTGAGCCCACAGGTCCGAAACCAGCCCGGGCAACTTGGCAAGACCTTGTCTCTACAATAAATTAAATAGCAGCTGGGTGTGGTAGTGCGCACCTGTAGTTCCAGCTACTTGGAAGGCTGAGGTAGAAGGACTGCCGGAGCCCAGCAGGTCCACACTGGGGTGGTCGTGAGCGTGCCACTGCACTCCAGCCTGGGCAACGGAGTGAGACTCCAACTCAAAAAAAAAAAAAAAAAAAGCTGGGCATGGTGGTATGCACCTGTAGTCCCAACTACACAGGAGACTGAGGTGTAGTTGGAACCCAGGAGGTTAAGGCTGCAGTGAGCTGTGAGCATGTCACCACACTCCAGCTGGGGTCACAGAGTGAGACTCAACTCAAAAAAAAAAAAAAAAAGACGTAAGACCTGTCCTCCAGTAGTTTACATTCAAATCAGACAGATACGTCAATGGCAACTACAACGTGGTGTAGTAAGTACAACCAAGGAGGTCAATGGGAGTCTTGAAGGACAATGGAAAGATGCCGGCAGAATTGGCACCAAAGCCAAAGCCTGTAGATCAGGAAGTATATATGTGTTGGGCGTAGAGAGAGATCTGGAGGGGAAGGTCTTCACAATGGAAGCCAATCCACATGAGCCCAGTTGGGGACATGCTGAGCATGCAGTGGCTGTGAGCCACACACACACAAGAGGAGATGTCACATCAGTTGGAGAGAGGGGCCTGGGTGGTTGAGAGTCTAGGACAGAACATCCACTTGGGATTTTGCGGCACATAGACGGGTAAGACTGTCTGGAGAATTAGAGCACCAAGAGAAAGCTGAGGATAAATCCTTGCAAGGATGGACACAGGAAGAGGGTCCCAAAGACGATTTCGAAGTCCCCTTTTCAATACAGGTAAGAAGAAAGTCTGGGAACGTGGGGTGTAGCAGCAAATGAATGGGAGTGTTTCGAGGGGGCGGTGCAGAGAAGTGGGAAAAGAAATGGTCTCAGGGAGGGCTGTGCTCCCTCCGTTTTTCCCCACGCTCCTGTCTCATCAGCTTCACTCGGCTTCTTCCCGCAACATAAGCATCTTGGATTGTCCGGTTGAAAACAAACCTGCACTTCACTGACTGCGGGCTCTTCTCATCAGACTTTCACAAGAGCTCGAGCTTGCTGTCTCCGTGTCCTCATCTCCCTGCTCTCACACAACCGCTTCAAGGAGGCCTCTCCCTGCCAAGTTCAAAGCACGTGACTTTCACAGCCTTATCTCAGTTGGGCTGCTCAGGCTCCGGCCATCAAGGATGACTCCTCGCTGGCAACACCACGTCTCCATTTTTTGAGTTCTCTCCTGGTTCCCCGTTTTCTCTTCCACCGTTACCGCTTCTTTCCCAGGCAGTAGAGCACAACAGCTCAGGGTCTGGATTCTGGAGCCAGACTTTCCTCGGCTGTGTGGGAGTGGGGACTTAGCTCTCCAGGGCCTGCCTCCTCATCGAGAAACACGAGCATGACCATGGTACTAGGCTGGCCTTGGTGGCTCAGCCTGTCATCCCAGCACTTTGGGAGGCCGAGGCGGGTGGACTGCCTGACTGAGCCTGCGGGTTCAAGACCAGCCTGGGCAAATTGGTGAGACTGTGTCTCTACAATAAAAAAAAGAAAATTAGCCGGGCATGGTAGCACGCACCTGTAGTTCCAGCTGCTTGGAAGGCTGGAGCAGAAGGATCTCTGGGGCTCAGGAGGTCGACGCTGGGGTGGCGGTGAGCATGCCACGGCACTCCAGACTGGGCAATGCAGTGAGACTCCCATTCAAAAACAAACAAACAAAAGCAACGGTACTCACTCCTAGCATTGTTGAGGATGAAAACTTATCCATGTAAAAATATAGAAAGCACTTACTACATGTTAGTTATTGCCGTTATTATTTGCCCAATGGGATGTCCACTAAGGATTGGGCTTTGGTCTACTTTTCCCACTACTCTGTATGCCCTACCTTGGGTGTCATGTCCCCTTCTTGTTGTTTAAAATACTTACTAATCTCCTGATCGCTACCAAGTCGAGACTCAGTCTAGACTTTTACCTAAACGTGAGAATTTGCCAGCTGTAGCATCTTCACTGTAGATGAGTGAAACTCAGCATGTCTTTATTTTGCCTTACCACTTACTACTGACTCCCCACTCCAAATTTCATTCCAAGATCGTTTCACAACGTGTCACTACTCAGAAGGATGCCCTCACCGCTATGTGACTACCAAACTCACAACTACTGTGGACCGACTTAGTGGGTAAATCCATAATGCTGTCTGTATTTAAATGAACCCTGAAGTCACTCCTTAAGTATCCTATAAATTCCATGCAACTGTAAGGTTTTTTGCTTTTAAGTAAAATTTGATGGTTGATTTTGTTGAGATGGTTGGCCCTCCGTTTGGAAAAATAAATTCCAAGTGGTGTTTTTTTTTTTTTTTGAGTTGAAGCCTCACTCTTGTCGTCCAGGCCGGAATGCAGTGGCACGCCCCCGGCCGCCCCAGCCTCGACCCGCTGGGCTCCGGCGATCCTTCCGCCTCAGCCTTCCAAGCAGCTGGAACTACAGAAGCACGCCACCACGCCCAGTTAGCCTGTTTTCTGGGATTCACTGGAGAGACAAGGTCTCATCGAGTTGCCCCGGCTGGTCTCGAACCCCCCAGCGCTCAGGCAATCCTCTTGCCTCAGCCTCCCAACGTGCTGCCATGACAGGCTGAGCCCCCGTGCCCAGACAATTTAAGGATATAAGTTTTGCTTTTTTTTTTTTTTAAAATAAGAACCCTTGCAAGAATACAAGTGGAAGAAAAAGAGGCCATATGGTTGCCACCTCAGACAAAAAGGCATTCCTGAGCAAAACCTAGGACTTTTAAAAGAAATTAAAGAGAATATGGATCGATGTGGGTGTTTCGTAACTTGTGCATTGTATCAACCGTCGGCACCATACAAAGAAAAGACGCAGCAGGAGCGAGATGGCGCAGAGCCGGTCGCAGGGCGCGAGTCTCCGCCTGGGTGCGGGCGCGCGAGAACCCGCCTGGGTGCGGGCGCGAACCCGCCTGTGTGCGGGTGTTTTTTTTTGTTTTTTTTTTTTTTTTTTTTTTTTTTTTTTTTTTTCTTCCT